CACAAATATATGTTAGTTTTTAATTTGAAAATATTCATATATATTTATAATTATACATATACAGTGAAAAATTATAATATTTGGATAGAATATTTTGATAATAAAGCAGTTGTAAAGAGAGAGACGTATATAGCGATCTATAAGTAATATCGTCTTTCGGCTAATTTTGGAATCCTCTTTTCGCTTCCACACAAAACAAAACTCATATATATACGTAGCGTATATATATACGTATCTTAAGATAATTAGGTTAGGGACGAATTTTTTTGTATATGCATTCTATTGAATATCATTCAAAGAGCATAATAATAAACAAATTTTTTTAAAACTAATTCAACACCTTGACCTCTCCGCGAATTTTTGAAGGCGGGTATTTATGCGCAGGTTTTTAAAACTATGCACACCGCTATACTATGATCACTTCTAGAAATTAAGACTTACCTTATGCTGGTGTGTTATTATGTAGGCTCTATTATTCCTTATCGTTGTAAAAAATTATATTTTGTTAGACAGATATTCGTAGAGATTACCATACAAAATCTGAATCTCTTGTTCATTATCGTATCGGAAGATAAGCGGGTCTAGAACGAGATATTCTAGGAAGATTTTCTAGGAAATGAGAAAAATATGAATACATTTCCGACTTTTTCAAAAGATGCGTTGCATTAATGATAATACTGGGGTATTACTGGAAACGACGGTTTATTAACCATGCCCGCAAAATATAAATATAAATTTGTTAGAGACGTAAACATTAAATACATATTGCAAATTTTAAATTCCGCGATCGATAGAACGATATAGAATAAACGGAAGACCAGTCGGAAAAGATAAAAAAGCGAAAAGGTTAGCGGGAGGGATGTTTTATATTGCGACGAGATAGGACACTATTTGATAATATACTTGACAAAAAAAAAATATTCCTCGAGATTTAAGTAGCAAACCAAAAAGAGTTTAAAACTTGATTGAAGACAACTTATTTTAACGGGAAACGCGTCTGACAACTAAAGTTAAATAAGAATTATGTTTTACTCTTAAAAATAACAAAGTTTAATCAGACATTGCTATAATTATTGCTACAAACAGAATACAGCAATAATTAGAAATATATCCGAAAATAAAGATAGTCGTAAGATGACAAGATATGACGAAATTGACGAAGTAAGAAGGTATTAAATTTCTTTAATTCCGGAAAACACAGACAATTACATTGAGTTAGTTTAATATTTTAAAAAATTTATCACAGATTACGCGTCTTAGAATAAAATCTTTCTATTCCTATTGTTTTATGCTAGTTAAGAAAAATAATAATTTTAGTCGAATGTTTGTCGAAAGTCGCTTTATAAAACATAATAATGACTAGTGATCCATAGTGACCTTTTCTTCTTCTTCTAGTTCATCTTCTTATTGTAGGGACTTCGTTTTGTTATATATATTTGTTGTAAGGTTTTCTTTTTAGGGCGTTTGTTGATCTTGTGATGATGATATCCAGCTTTCATGCCACTTTCTTCGAGGTGTTTCAGGTGGTCTTTTTGTCCCTATATTTCCTGTTTTTGCCCCTTTCGGCAGCCTACTGTCGCTCATCATTTCCACATTGTCTCGCTACTCTCATTTCCTCCTTCTTATCCACTTTACCCCGCATTGGTTCTCATATTCTTCGCCTATCTCTTTGTTTCATCTTCTATCTTTTAGTGAGTTCTCTGTTATAGCTCGTAGCGTCTTCACTTCTGTAGTTCTCAGGAAACGTTCTATTATCGTGGACACTGCACTTGTATTTGCCGCGCAAGTCTTTATTGGTCTGATACAATTTTTGTATATTCGTGTCTTGCTTTTGATGCTCATATGTTTTTTTCTCCATATAATATCTTTTAGGTATCTACAGTTAAGGGAAGCTCTAGTTGTTTGGTCTTCTACCTTCTCTTTTAGGTTTCTGTTGCTTGTGATTTTTCGTCCTCGATATTTGAATTGCATCACTTGGTTGTATACTGCTAACTTGCATCGCCTGGGTTCCTTGGAAAGTGTAAGTGATTCAGTCTTCTCTACCGTAATAGTCATATTAAGTTAGCCTGAAGCATTCTCAAATTTGTACGGCATCCCTTGTAGGTCGTCCTCGTCTATTGACATGAGGATTGCATCGTCGGCGTAACATATTTTTTTTCTTTTTTCTTTTCCCAGCTAAATTCCGTCTTCAACTGTTTATTAATAAATCTCCTTTGTTATTTCGTTTATACTAAGGTTAGAAAGGATCATGCTTAAACTGTCTCCTTGTGTGAATCCCCTCGTTGTTGGACTCTTCATCGTTGTCATACCACCGATCCTTAATATTGTTGTATTCTAGGAGTCAAGTTCTTTTAATATCCGTCTTGTGGCCCCACTTACTCCTCTGGCTCTCAGCATTCATAGTAGTTCCCCAAGCTTCAGTTTGTTAATTATTAGCTAGAGATCAACAAAGCACATGTGTATTTGTTTGTCGAATTCTGTGGCTTTTTTAGCTATTTGTCGCCGTATGAATATTGCATCCACCGTCGATTTGTTTTTTCTAAAGCATTGCTGTTCTTCGCTTATACCTGTCCGCTCTATTACCATCGGTATGATTTTTGTTTTCATCTTCTGTACTGCACTTAGAAAACTGATTCCGCGGTAGTTTTTTGGTTCTGTCTTAGTTCCTTTCTTGAATATGGAAACTGTTTTACTCTTCTTCAATTCGCATAGCACTTTTGTGTTTTTTACTATTTTGTTGAACAGGGTACTTAGTTGTTCTGACCCTCATATTTGATTAGTTCGTTTAATATTTTATCTGTTCCTAATGTTTTACGGTTACTCAATTTGTCTATTTTTTTCGTACATCTTTAGATGAGATAGTGTAATTGTCTTATGCCTCCTCTTCTCCTTTTACACATCTGTTCTATGTCTCCTTTGTTTTGTTTTTGTACAGTTCTGTGAAATTTTGTTCTATTCACCTGTTGTGAATTTGGTGGTCTGCATGGACTCGTTTACGTTTTTTCTACGGTTTGGTAGCATATTCAATTTTTTTTTTATGCTTGGTATAGGTTGTGTTTCATTTCGGCCGAAAATTACTCCCATTAATCTTGTTTAATTTGTCTATGCCTTGTTTACCTTGTTTCTTGTTATTCGATAATCGTCATATGTTGTTCTGTTATTTTGATATTGTAGGTAGGTATTCTCTGCTGCCAAGGATTTTACTTCTTCTTTAAACAATGGAGTGTTTCTCCGCTTTCCTCCGGTGTTGACTTTTCTTTTCCCCAGGGCTTTCGTGCTGCTTTTTTGATGTTTGTTTTGATCTTCTCCCATGATGTTTCTAAGTCGTCTATTTCTTGGATTTTGTTATTTTCTATTTCTGTTTTTATTTTGGTGTTAAAAATGTTTTTCCTTATTTTCGTAAGTACTAGATCGTAGATGGTGCCCGTTTTTGCTGACCTTAGAACTCTGACTTCCTGTATTTTTGTGGGGTTTACTTTTCTATTTGTTATTATGTAGTCTATATTTTATTTTTCTGCTCAAGTGTTCTCGAAAATGTATTTATGCTGTGGTTTAGGTGGGTTAAAAGTGTTATTAATCTTTAGCTTATTTATAGCGCATAAGTTTATCAGCATGTCCTCATTGTCGTTCAAGGCGTCCTCGTAGAAACGATTTGTTATCCCTTTTATTATTTTGTTGCCAAACCTTGCATTAAAGTCTTCGAGTACTATAGTGTCATCTCTCCTAGAGATGTTGTCTAGGTGCGCTGGCATAAATTAGATATAATAAGGAATTGCGCCTAAGCAAAAAGTAACCACGTGTCTCACCTCTCGCGTGCATAAAAGCTCTGGTTGATAAATTAATTATATTAAGGAATTGCGTMTAACAAAAGATTGAACACGAGTCTCGCCTCTCGTTCAGTTCGCTTGTATACGGATTCAACAACAAGGCTGACAATACGGCGCCTGACCGATTTAAATTGCCAACTCGAGTGGTGATGATACGGCTCCTGGCCGATTTCAAGTGTGAAATTGAGCAGCGCAGCTGCAGCGCCCGAGTGGTTTGAAGTCTTAAATCGAGCGGAAAAGAAAATAATTGCCCTAGGAAATAGAATAGCAAAAATTTTCAACAAAAACCACGGTCGCGTTTGATGGTAGGTCGGGAAACCATTGAGGTAGGCGGGAAATTTCGTATTACGGTGATACGTGTCCTGATAAACCTAGGATGCATCTTAACAATTGTTTCACTAAATATCACATCAAAACAAATTACAGAGTGTAATATTCATCAAAGTTTGTTGTTTTCAACATATAAATGAATAAACTGGTAAAATTTAATTATTTGTATACGCTTGTTTGTTTATAAATKTTTTTAAAGTACCTGCAAAATGTTTTCCTAATTTGGCCAAATTCGTCTCGAGTTGTTAGTTCGCGCAAGCAAAAAAAGCCTCGAGTGCAAAGGGTGAATAATCTGCGACGGAACAAAGCTTGATTACTTGCTACCATTGTGCGAATGATGCCACGTATAGCCTCCGCCATTGCGGATGCTTGCGGATTTTGTTTGGGATAGCAGAGCGCTCCCGCGGGAATGGGTACAAAGTAAACCCCCACCAGGGAAAATATCGGCCTATATAAGAAGCCTTCTTTTTGGACCTACTATTCTTAATCTTCAGTCAAGTTTAGAATTCAGAGGTGCAGTCCAAATTAAGTCAGTTCATTTTTTCTTGTATTTTGAAGTGTGTGTGTGTGTGTGTGTGTGTGTGTGAGCGTGCTGCTCAATAGTTGCGAATCAGTTCTGGCATTACTAAATTGACCGAGAAAAAACAGAAGATCCTCCAAAACGCGATACTAGTAAAACAATCTGTAAAAATAGGTCACCAACTAAGTTTAAGGACGCATTCTTTGTAAGTAATTGTTTCCAATATAAAATATCTTTAGAATTAGAGCAACGRTAAACGGAAATTTGCMTTCATCCTTAACCTTTTAGAGACGGCTGAATTCTGCGTGTGGCTATTTCCCTGGACGGCAGGGTCTGACGTGAACAACGTATAATTGATATAACACTGCAAATGTGGCGGGCAATTCCGTTCTATGCACGAGAACATTCAAATGAAGTATTTGATGATTAAGTCATAATTTTTTCAAAATATATATTACACATACTTTAACTATAACATTCCACTTTAATAACTAATAATATAATTAAGTATGAAAGATTTGGAAACATGGTACAATACATAAACCTACGTCACAATTTTCACATTGATAACGAGATCTTCGCCTTGTATCGTTTTTGGAACACACTATACAATTTCGTAACGTTTTTCTAGAAAACCACGAAAAGCAACTATAGTGGCGCATCGTTCAGAGAGATGACATACAGGAAAGCCACTATAGTGGCGCGTCGTCCTGAAAAATGATATCCGCGAAAGCCACTATAGTGACGTGTAGTATCTAAAAGGTTAATACCTAGTTTTACAACAAAACCGTTGGCAGTTTTAACGGTTGCCACGCGTGCTATTCCGTTGGCTCTCGCATTTATTTCCGTGACACGTCCTAGTCGCTATTCAAGAGGTGAGAAATTATCTTCTCACAGGATGACTAGCGTATACCGGATTACGTCGTCTGATATGCCCTGGTGCTACTTTTTACGAACCGTCTGCACGTTTAAATATTCCATATTCCATTGGTTCCAGAAATGCTGTCTTACCCGCTGAACGTGTTGCCATTGCGATAGACGCCCAGATGTACTCGTTCTCTGGCAGACTCGAAAATAAATCTCTAATTAAAAAAATGACCAGGTGTGAGGGCACGCAAATCGTTCAGATCATTAGACAAATGGGTGATAAGACGCGAGTAAAGAATCGCCTCTATCTCGAGGACGTAAGTTAATAATGCCTCATACGATAACCCTGTTTCGCCGACAAATCTAATTAGATGGTATTTGAAAGATTTCACCGCCGCCTCCCATAGACCTCCAGAATAAGGGAGTGGGGAGGGATAAAATGCCACTTGGTTCTTTCTTTTCGCGAAAACGCGAACCTCCAATTCGTTCGAAGGAACAAACATAATAAGTCGTGCTGTCGGAATATTTGTCTGAATATTTAGCATAGCGTTCCATAAGTCCACGCAAAGCGTTTTTAGTCGCTTTAACAAATTGTGGGAGGATTAATGCGCCAAAAAGTTCTAAACGCGGGAGTGACTGTGTCTTAAACGGAGCGACCTTAGAAATTTGACGCAAACTACACCAGCACCTTGGGATTTTCCCGTCGTTTTAACGTCAATATACTCGCCTTAAGCCTTTTCGCTCGCGTCGTAAAATCGCGCATTTCCAATGCTTTTCCGTTACCCGCTACGTTGCGCGCGAACCTTATCTCCTCAAGCGCGTATAGGCTTTGGCGAAAAGGTTGCCACATTTTATATATGTAGGAGACGGTAAACGTCGCCGTCTTATCTTTTAGATCTGTCGACAGAGACGCTGGTTTCTTAGCATAAGGCGATAGGCATTTGTTAGATTTTAAGTAACCGGGGACAACGGACGAAATAAAGGAGAGTGAGTGTCGAGCGATGTAAGAGAGAGGTTCTGCGTTTTGTAATAACCATTAGAGATTGTAATGAAACTGTTTTTCCCATTAAAAATCCTACAAAATTAGGGGCTCGTCCGGGATTGAGGAGCTACAGCGTGCGAAGAGTAGGATTGCGGAAAAATAACAGCGAATACTGCGATAGCAAATTTGTGTGAAGTTTTGCGATAGTGAATTGGTGTGAACTTTTGCGATAGTGAATTGGTGTGAACTTTTGCGATAGTGAAGAATTAGCATTGAACAGCGTGACAGAGAGTCGTGTGTGCGAAACAGTATAGAAGAAAAAAAAAATCATGAGCGACGTACGTAAAGCGCCTTCGGAATTTTTAGTATCGGAATTGAAGGAGAAGTTAGCAGCTTTGGGACTTGCCACGACTGGTGTTAAAAGCGAGTTGATAGCCTGCCTTATGGAAGCTGATCCATCGGGAAATTGGGTGATAGGAGACAGTATTGCGAGGAGGGATGTCGAAGAAACGCGGAACGCAACCGTAGC